AAGAAACCCTAGTTGAGGAAAGCTGTTCCAGAGCATTGTTTGTCAAAAAAGGTGAGAAATGTTGTAAATGCAATTCAATAAACAAATACCAGAATAGGGAAAAGAAGGAAGAAAAAAAGCTATTTTGGTCTTAAAAGCATTCATTTTATTGATTTATATTCAATCTGCAGTCTATTTTTACTGTCATAATAAAGTCTTCCAATAAATAAAAATGTACAGTATTTCTGGCTAATCCAAGAGATCAGCACCTAGGAAATGCAAATTCTACCTGCTTAGAATCCACATTCATTTGATCCACAGGATCTCCTCAAAGCATAAAGTGTAAGATGCAAGTAAGGACGGGCAAACTGAAACCTATTCTGTAGTCTGCAGTACGGTCGGGGTTGATGATGCATGCAAGTGACAGGACCTTCGTGTATGTGTATATAGGGAATTATCTGATCTGAAGGAAGGTCTTTATCCAAGGCTCAGGTTTATTTTAGAAATGCCCTCAGATTTGGTCATATTGAAGTATATGTAAGGTCCCTTTCACATGAGCGGACTGATCAGGCCTGCCTGTCTGTTTTTCAAGCGGACCCGATCAGAAGCGCCACTGCTTTCTATGGAGCAGCGGGTGTAACCGGACGTGTCCGTTTGCACCCACCTGCATCCGATTTGATCCTGTCTGCTAAAAATAGACAGATGGGGATCTATTTCCCATCCATCTGGCTGATCGGATTAATGACATTTGGATGGAAACAGACAGGTGGTCCATTTTCCATTCCATAGAGGACAGTGTCCGTGTCTGCCCTGCATAAGTGGAGTGGACACGGACCTGTCATCCACTTACTCAGCAGGTCCACCCAATGTGAAAGGGGCCTAAACCCTAACATTGTAAAACAACCCATCCAGTTTAAAATAGAAAAGAAAGGCAAAACATTTGTGTATAGATATATGGTCAGTTTTTAACAGGAAAGCAGAGGGACTGGCAGGGACACCAGGGATTTCACACACACAAAGCAATACAAAGAGGACAGGATGCTTTTTCATACAAGTATATGGTACAGCAGGCACATGTCAGGAATATGAAATGTTGGGTTTACACATTCTTTAACTGCTTCCTTGCCACCCTGTAGCACAAATACTGCTACAGGGCAGCAGGGCTGCGCAAAATCACGTATGTATACGCAATTTTGCATTTCTGGGTAGGGGAAGTGCGAGCCACGTGAGAGCCCTACCCACGCCACCATTGGCGGCCTCGGCTGTCGCTGAGTATCACTAAAGGGGGAGAGACCTGCATGTAAACAATACAGATCTCTCCCGTCAGCTCCTGCACACTGCTTTGTATGGCTCTGCATAACAGAGTCATGCAAAGCAGCGTGCTTACAGTGAAACACACACAGCAAAACAGCACACAGTTAACCCTTTCATCACTCCAGATGTTAACCCCTTAATGCCCAGTGTCATTAGTACAGTGTCAGTGCTTTTTATTAGCACTAATCGCTGTATTGGTGTCACTGGGGAAGTCAGTTCCCTCCTGTGTCAGAATGCCTGCCGCAGTCCCGCTACAAGTTGCTGATCGCCACCATTATTAGTACAAAAAAAAAAAAAAATTACAGTATATATACACCATTTGTAGATGCTATAACTTTCACGTAAACCAATTAATTTACACATATTGTGATTTTTTTTTTTAGCAAAGACATGTAGCAGAATACATTTTGGCCTACATTTATTATGAAATTTGATTTTTCAAATTTTTTTTACTGGACATGTTTTATAGTAAAGAGTCAAAAATATAGCTTTTTTTTTTCTCAAAATAGTCGGACCTTTTTTTTTTTTTTTTATAGCACAAAAAATAAATAATGCACAGGCAATCATACACCAAAAGAAAGAAAGTTCCATTTGTGGGAAAAAAAAGGACATAAATTTCATTTGCATAGCCACGCAATTGTCAGTTAAAGTAACGCAGCGCCGTATCGCAAAAAATTTCCTGGTCAGGAAGAGGGGTAAATCCTCTGGAGGGCAAGTGGTTAACTGGGTGTTAACAGCACTGACTATTCCTAATTGTGTCAACCCTTTATCTGTGTACGTATTAAAGCGATAGTAAAGACTGAGGGGAAAAATAAATCTTCCCCTTGCAAGTCAATGGCATAATGTACTAGTACACATCACATGCTAGCATATTATGAAAGACCTAAAAACGAAGCCCTCCAGCAGCATGCTGACAGAGTTTCCATCTTCGCCCAGTCTTCCAGGTTTGCGGGCTCTGGACATTTAAATGGCCAAGCTGCGATGATGTCCCTCCTGCACATGCGGAGGAGAGGCACGATCGTATGTCATCCATTCTGGGCGCAGTGCAAATATGCTGGTGATGTCACCTGCTGCAGAAATAGAGAATATATCCTAAACGGTGCACATTTAGGAGATATTCCTTGTATCTACAGGTAATCTTTATTATAACCTTACCTGTAGGTTTATATCACCAAGCAGTGTTTACTACCGCTTCAAGGCAGACTTAAAAAGGTATCTAATAATAAAGATGTTATATATTGCAGGTTACTAGTCCTTAGATGTGGTCACTGTATTTGTTTTTATTGTTCAGGCTTTCCCCCCCTTTATCTTTACCTAGTAATCCTGTGAATAACATGCTTCATTTCCCTGGTTGGCTACACTCACTCCTCTGCTGTATCTAAGGAGGGAGCCATGGTTGTTATCTAGGCGGAATTGTTTTTGCTTCCAGTTTCTCTCACAGGAATTGACAAGGACACTTAATTTCCAGCAAGATCAACAGGTATTTTCTGTACTTGCTACAAACATTCCTAGCCTGACAATAAAAATGCAGCCACCACATCCAAGGAACAGTAAGTGGCAATATACACTGCTCAAAAAATTAAAGAAGCACTTTGAAAACACATCAGACCTTAATGGGGAAAAATGTTATGCTGGATATCTATACGGATATGGACTGGGTAATGCGTTAGGAATGTAAGGATGCCCCATCGTTTGATGGAAATTAAAATGATCAACCTACAGAGGACTGAATTCAAAGACACTCCAAAAATCAAAGTGAAAAAATGATGCAAGCAAGCTATTCCATTTTCATTGCAGCAACTCAAAATGGTACTCAGTAGTCTGTATGGCCCCACGTGCTTGTATGCATGCTTGACAACATCGGGGCATGCTCCTAATGAGATGACGAATGGTGTCCTGGGGTATTTCCTCCCAGATCTGGACCAGGGCATCACTGAGTTCCTGGACAGTCTGAGGTGCAACATGGAGGCGTCAGATGGACCGAAACATGATATCCCAGAGGTGTTCTATTGGGTTTAGGTCAGGCAACCGTGGGGGCCATTTAATGGTATCAATTCCTTTAACCTCCAGGAACTGCCTGTATGCTCTGCCCACGGGACTGGGCATTGTCATGTACCAGGAGGAACCCAGGATCCACTGCACCAGTGTAGAGTCTGACAATGGATCCAAGGATTTTATCACGATACCCAATGGCAGTCAGGGTGCCATTGTCTAGCCTGTAGAGGTCTGTGCATCCCTCCATGGATATGCCTTCCCAGACCATCACTGACCCACCACCAAAACGGTCAAGCTGAGCCATGTTACAGGCAGCAAATCGTTCTCCACAGCTTCTCCAGACCCTTTCACGTCCATCACATGTGCTCAGGATGAACCTGCTCTCATCTATGAAAAGCACAGGGCACCAGTGGTAGACCTGCCAATTCTGGTGTTCAATGGCAAATGCCAATCGAGCTCTGTGGTGCCAGGGAAGTGAGCAAAGGGCTCACTACAGGATGTCGGGCCCTCAGGCCACCCTTATGAAGTCTCTTTCTGATTGCTTGGTCAGAGACGTTCACACCAGTGGCCTGTTGGAGATCATTTTGTAGGGCTCTGGCAGTGCTCATCCTGTTCCTCCTTGCACAAAGGAGCAGATACCGGTCTTGCTGATGGGTTAAGGACATTCTACGGCCCTGTCCAGTTCTCCTAGAGTAACTGCCTGTCTCCTGGAATCTCCTTCATGCTTTTGAGACTGATACGGCAAACCTTCTGGCAATGGCACGTATTGATGTGTCATCCTGGAGGAGTTGGACTGCATGTGCAACCTCTGTAGGGTCCAGGTATTGCCTCATGCTTCCAGTAGTGACACTGACCCTAGCCAAAAACAGTGAGAAAAGATGAGTAGGGAAAAAAATGTCACTGTCAATGTAAAACCATTCCTGTTTTGGGGGTTGTCTCATTGTTGGCCACCTAGTGCACCTGTTGTTAATCTCATCAACACCAAAGCAGCTGAAACTGATTAACAACCCCCTCTGCTACTTAACTGACCAGATCAATATCCCAGAAGTTTAACTGACTTGATGCTATACTCTGATTAAAAAGTGTTCCTTTAATTTTTTGAGCAGTGTATTACATATTTGTATTTGGGTTTAGGTACGCTTTAAAACTTAAAGTGTAAATCCAGCCAAAACGTTTTTGTGTCTTGGATCGAGTGGGGACGTAATTAAACATAGAACCCCTGTTGGGTTTTTACTACTTTCCAGGGCTCTCACTTTTGGTCAGTGCAACAGCGACTTCACTAGACAGGAAGGAAAATTCTGCAACAGTAAGTGAGGGGTAATCTCTCTAATGAAGCCCCACATAGTAGTAAAAACATGTTTAGGGCTAACAATTATCTACCTTAACAGACAGTATAAATAAACTAAGCATTATTGATGATTGATTTCTGTACTTATTCTGTCTGTTTAGGTAGAGATTTTTAGTATGTTTTTCACTTCTTTTGCTTCCTTGAACCAGCTTCAGTGAAATTTTCCATCGTGCTGGTTATGTTACTTACTGGTGATTCCCACTGCTAGATTATTGCTCATTCATTGACTTATACAAATTCCACTTCTTCCCATTGAAGCTCATTATAATCACAGTAGGTGGCTGGCACATCATTAAAACTTTCAAATTAAATATATTAAGTACATACAGCATCTAGTTTGAGGTGATAAAAAATAAACTTTGGGTCAAAGTTTAAAACATAACATCAGTCCATCGGCAAGAGGTAGGATACTTAAAAATATGCGAGCGTCCCTTAAGATGGCTTCATTCAGCTGATTCATTCCCTGTACACTCTCATCCTTAGGGCTCATTCTCAGTACGGCTCCACTGCACAGAACCTGCATAATAGTAGAAAAGACTTTCAATTAACAGACAAATTCCCAGTAAGAAAAAAAAGTAAGTTCAAGGAATATTGCTGCTACGCCAAATTGATGTTTAAAACAGTTTCCCCATGATCCCTAGCAGCCAAATTGATCATGGCTTTTAGAGTACTTCTAAGAAGGATCACAGGCTCTTGGAAGCGATTCTTTGCAATCTTCCTACCTTAGCATTTGTAGCTGCCCATGCATGTATAATTCAATACACATGCAGATTAGAATAGATTCCCCCCACCCATGGTTTCAGACTGGCAGAGTGGAGAACTTGGGGCAGTTTAAGCAGCTCATTTTCAGGCTAAAGATAACAGGCAGAACCTGAAGAATAGGTTACAAGTGACCACAGGGATTTGCAGGGTGAGTAGACTGAAGTGCAGAATGTGTCAGGAAGAAAATTAGAGGAACTAGAGAATGAATGCTATGTTCTTCATGTCTATATACAGTGGGGATCGAAAGTTTGGGCACCCCAGCTAAAAATTTGTATTAATGTGCATAAAGAAGCCAAGGAAAGATGGAAAAATCTCCAAAAGGCATCAAATTACAGATTAGACATTCTTATAATATGTCAACAAAAGTTAGATTTTATTTCCATCATTTACACTTTCAAAATAACAGAAAACGAAAAAATGGCGTCTGCAAAAGTTTGGGCACCCTGCAGAATTTATAGCATGCACTGCCCCCTTTGCAAAGCTGAAACCTGCCAGTGTCATGGATTGTTCTCAATCATCATCTGGGAAGACCAGATGATGTCAATCTCAAAGATTTTAAATGCCCAGACTCATCTGACCTTGCCCCAACAATCAGCACCATGGGTTCTTCTAAGCAGTTGTCTAGAAAACTGAAACTGAAAATAGTTGACGCTCACAAAGCTGGAGAAGGCTATAAAAAGATAGGAAAGCATTTTCAAATGTCAATATCCTCTGTTTGGAATGTAATTAAGAAATGGTAGTCATCAGGAACAGTGGAAGTTAAAGCAAGATCTGGAAGACCAAGAAAAATATCAGACAGAACAGCTCGCAGGATTGTGAGAAAAACAATTCAAAACCCACGTTTGACTGCACGATCCCTCCAGAAAGATCTGGCAGACACTGGAGTTGTGGTACACTATTCCACTATAAAGGGATACTTGTACAAATATGGTCTTCATGGAAGAGTCATCAGAAGAAAACCTCTTCTACGTCCTCACCACAAAAATCATCGTTTGAACTTTGCAAATGAACATATAGACAAGCCTGATGCATTTTGGAAACAAGTTCTGTGGACCGATGAGGTTAAAATTGAACTTTTTGGCCGGAATGAGCAAAGGTACGTTTGGAGAAGAAGGGGCACAGAATTTAATGAAAAGAACCTCTGTCCAACTGTTAAGCATGGGGTTGGATCAATCATGCTTTGGGGTTGTGTTGCAGCCAGTGGCACAGGGAACATCTCACGAGTAGAAGGAAAAATGGATTCAATAAAATTTCAGCAAATTTTGGATGGTAACTTGATGCCATCTGTGAAAAAGCTGAAGTTAAAGAGAGGATGGCTTCTACAAATGGATAATGATCCTAAAACACACCTCGAAATCCACGGGGGATTACATCAAGAGGCGTAAACTGAAGGTTTTGCCATGGCCTTTACAATCTCCTGACCTCAACATAATTGAAAATCTATGGATAGACCTTAAACGAGCAGTGCGTGACAGACAGCCCAGAAATCTCAAAGAACTGGAAGACTTTTGTAAGGAAGAATGGGCAAAGATACCTCAAACAACAATTGAAAGACTCTTGGCTGGCTACAAAAAGTGTTTACAAGCTGTGATACTTGCCAAAGGGGGCAGTGCAAGTAATTAACTCTGCAGGGTGCCCAAACTTTTGCAGATGCCATTTTTTGGTTTTCTGATATTTTGAAAGTGTAAATGATGGAAATAAAATCTAACTTTTGTTGACATATACGAATGTCTAATTTGTAATTTGATGCCTTTTGGAGATTTTTCCATCTTTCCTTGGCTTCTTTATGCACGTTAATACAAATTTTTAGCTGGGGTGCCCAAACTTTCGATCCCCACTGTACATGGCAAATCTTCATGTTTAAAGAAGAAGTGTGGGCTACTTAGAAAAAACAAACCTACATACGCACTTATATGGCTGCAGTATCAGTGTGATGCTGCAGCTGTGCCTCGCTGGCTCCAACACTGAGAACTGAGCAATCACATGACCACTGACCACTCAGTTCTCAGTCCTCTCTGAGAAGATAGGCGACTGTCAGTCATTGCTCTCTGTTCTGTGCCTCCAGTGCTCCCAAGAGCACGGGGCTGGAGACAGGAGGGAGCATTTGGCTCAGCTTCTCAGCAGCGTGCCAAGAGACTGAGCCAGCTGCCCATAAAGCATCTGGCTGGATCCTGACATCATTGTTGTAATCCTTCCAAAGCCTAGAGCAGCTCTGTGACCTAGAAGAGAAGTTGCCAAAAAAAAAAAAAAAAAACTTTGGCCATACTTCTCTTTTCAACTGATGTGTGTTGTTGTTGTTATTCTTATACAGGATTTATATAGCAGCAACAGTTTGCACAGCGCTCACGTGTACCAAGCAATTATGTCTGTTGCACTGCAATTGCAGAGCAAAGCAGTAGTAGTGTCAATATACACAATATTCAGAAAAACTGCATTAACTACTGTATGTACAGATAGATATAAATATTAGCAGACACATATGCAAATGTAAATACTGATTTTAGTACTAGTTCACAGCGGATGCAGTTCAGTGCGCTTTTTTTCTGCATCAAAAATGCATGCACAGTGTTTTCCATATATTCCAATGGCCCTGGTTCACACTAATGCAGTCAGTTCCAGTCAGTTTCCGGTGCAGAAAAAAAAAGTAGAACATGCTACATTGTTTCTGCACAGAACCATACTGGAACATGTCAAACTGCATCAAAACTGCACCGGAACTGCGTGTGGTGTGAACTGTAAGCAAAAAACATATCCGGAATGCATCCGGAGTGCATTTTTGTAGTGTGAATTGGCCCTTATAGGATTTAGATCAGACATTCAAAATAATTATATATAATACCAAATGTAATTATCAACACATGCAATGAATCAGCTTAAATATGAACCAGGACTGACCCTGTCAGCACTACCTGGCTCAACAAAATTTGATTTAAAGCCGAGATTTAATTGGATTCCTCAGAAATCTTCACTGCAGGGACTCCTGTCCTCTTCTTGTCTCTGAACTTCTGACATTGCAGTGGTTAATAACTTTGCCTCTTTATGCAGAACAGCAGTACAGATGGTCCGAAAGGGAAATACGACCTCCCTCCTCCTCCACTGAGAAAAGTTCTTTCACATTGATTAAAATCTGTGAATGGGAGAGAGAATTCTGTGACTGATCAGACTCTTCCCCATTGACAGATCGTGTTACAGGCTGTGTAATCAGTGAAATAATAGGCTATCTGTACTGCTGTTTTGCCCAATGACCCAAAGATGTTAAACATTGCAGTGCTAGACGTTCCGAGACAGGAACAGGACAGGCATCCATGCAGTGAGGATTTCTGCAGGATCTAGCTGCTGGGAAGGATATGGGACACCCCTCGTTACAGGTAAGCAATGTGACTAAAGCTGTAGAGAGATGTTTTGTTTTAGCTAAACTTCAGCTTTAAAAATTGACTGAGCCAGATGGAACAGTAACTGCACCTTAATAGATTTTAGGTATTAAGGGCCCTTTCACACCAAATGAGCGTCCAAAATCCAGGACTATCCTATGGGCATAGTTCATACCATTGCAGTGCAGTACAGCGCAGTGCAAGAAAAAAAAAAAAAGTACAGCATGTTACATTTGGCAGCTGCGGGTGTGGCTGCCTGAATACAATAGCTAGCAGTGGAGATGCCTCTATGCATGCTGTTTATGCAGGTTGAATGAAAGAAATCTAACTGTGTAAGGCTAGCATTCCCTAAACCCTCAGCTCCAGATATTAACTGGTAAGATCTACACCTGTCCACTCAGGCTTTCTAGCTTCTTTTCAACTGCAAACTCTACATAAAACTCTACATAAAAGGATGTGAAAGAGGGCTCCATAAGTTTGGTAATTAACTGCTAAACAAAGGCTGAAGGATTATAGTGGAGCTTCTTCTACTATCATTTCCACCCAATATGTTTGTCTGTGAAGTTTCAGGCACATATCAATGAATCCCTGCACTGCGGTGTCTAGGGAGATGTGTTTCCTCTTTCCCCCAACTGTCAACCAGCCCTGAGCAAGCTGCACATATCCTTTTTACGGATTAAGGCCTCAATGCCAGGCAACAAGATGGCGTCACCAAACAGCTGCTTAAAACATATATGAAACCCAAAAAATTGATCTGAGAGTGACAAAAAGTAACTTGGCGTGCCCACAAGCCTATGATCAGGGGAGGTGTCTCCAAACTTATCTATGCAAAAGAAAACAACACTAAGACATGACACCTATGATAGACTACCACAAAGCATTTATTGAAATATAAATAATGCAAAGAACATGAAAACATGCAAAGACTCCAGTAGGGAAGCCAGATAATCCCCACCTTGGTGTCCTCCTTCCCTCAGCCCCCCACAATCCCTAACTCCCACTGTCTCACCTGAACCCCCGCTAACCTCACTAATGGAACCACAGAGCTTCTCAAGATGGAAAAAGCCCTGGGAATCACATATGCCAGCTAAGAACTCTGTGTACTGTAAGGACTATTCTTTTCTGGAAGTAGGACATCAACATTCAGACAACCAACCCCTCTATCTACAGCTAAATTGGAAACCAGGGTAACATTAAGGGTCCATTCACACCAAGTGCAGTGGGACTGTGTTGAGTGGATATTCCAGCGCACCCCCACCACAAGACAAGGCAAAATGCTTTGTTTCTGGTGTGGCTGGTTCACACTATTGTGTTGCGATGGTGTGCACCAAAGAAAAAGGACTGAGTAAGAGTACTTTTTTTCCAGCGCAGTGCAGGTCACTGCATGCTGGCTCATAGAACTCTGTGTAATGTTGCTGTGGGATCAATTTACTAAAATTGGAGAGTGCAATATCTGATGCAGCTCTGCATAGAATACAATTAGCTTCCGGATTTTTTTGTCAAAGCTTAATTTAGAAGCTGATTGGCTACCATGCACATCTGCACCAGATTTTACACTCTCCAACTTTAGTAAATCACCCCGTGTGAAATTATAATAAAATTTTTTTGAAAAAAAAAAAAAAAAAGAGTGGACAGTGTGTTGTGCCGCTATCAGTGCATCAGCACTGCATTGGTCTGGCCATACCGCACCTCACACCAGCCACTATGTTGCAATGTAGTAGCTGGTGTGAATGAGCCCTAGGAGCTATCCGAAGACTCTCTAATCTTGACCATCTATCACAGGTTGCCATGCTGGAAGGTTTAAAACTCAGCCCTGAAGCAAAAGAAACTTGCAAGTCCCTCAACTACAGCTACCATGACACCAAACCTTACTACAACCTACCTGTGGCCTGAAGGCCCTCCTGCCATCATACTGGTAGATTAAACACCTGAAGCTGTTGCTTCTCCAAAACTATCGTTCACGCCACCCATTAAGCTCCAGCTTCACACTCAATTGTGGGGGTCATGGCCCTCCGTCATATTCCCATGAACCTTTGCCTCCTGTCAACCACAATCCTTGTCCTACAGAACCCACAAAGGTATGCAATCAAAACATTCTGCTTACCCATTGACTGCCTTTGCCTAACTGAGATAGTCCTCTGCAAATAGACAACTGAAAAAGATTGGACAGGTGTGGATCCTGTTCCATAATAGCTGAGGCATCTTGTTGCCTCTCTCACATTTCAGAAATATTTCAAAAACAAATATGAGGAAAAGAACATTTATTTTTTGTAAAACCTTCAGAGTGGGAATAAACATAACGTGTGCCCTATTTTGAACTTTTGGCTTCAGTGAAGTTAATCAATGTGGGCTTGCCTGGTGTTTTCCAAACAAAGCTGAATAGTTCAAGACTGGATGAATAGTAACCCTAAGAACAGTGATACTGTTTTTGTTGCTTTAAAGTTGAACTTCCGCCATCTTCTGGGATTAACACTCTTACTAATCAAAATTATAATGTGTACTCTTGTAGGACCGGTACTTTAAACATACCCCATCTATGGCTAGTATTCCTCCACTCCTCAAGAGACGCAGACATTTTTCATAGCATTTTCTGCAATTCTGTTGATGAGCCATATTCATGGAAATTAAGTCAAATGTACCAGCTTGTCCAGTAGAGAACAGGTCATCTATACACAAAAAAAACAAACATTTTGAGCACTAAAACCATGAAACACCACATTTACAAACTCACCTGATTTGTTTTAACTAGACAAACTTGTATGACATTATAGGATCTTACTCACGCGAACAATTTCTGAATAACGAGGTATTCATGAAATGATGATGAGTTTTACAACTCACAAAATTCTCAATAATCATATGTGTGACAATTGCTATACAATCCAGTTTTTACTGCAGCTGCCATAAAATTCTAGATGGCTTTGCTGAATATGTGACAGAGTACACCTTCAAAGTAGTCACTTGTCAAGTGAGAAATATGGGGATGACCTTTCCTTTAGAAAATGTTAGTGTTCTGGCTGTTCTGTTGATGTTTTGGCTTTAATACTTTCTAGTCACTGGCCCAGAAAAAGTATTGAGATAAGGAATTCCATATTTTCTCCGATTTTCATTTGCTTATTAGTTTATTACTGGGATTTGGCCCAGAAGGGTTAAAACTAAACAAAGCTGTGCTGCTATCATTTTAAGATGAAAGGCAGCAATGGAAACACACCTATCACTCTCGATAGGTGCACCTTAACTGAAAAGTGTTTCCCGTTGGAGAGATGAAGAAATACAAGGTTTCATTATGGAATCAGTACCCCATTTTTAAGTTAAGGATAGCTCAGTCTGTGCAAAAAGGTCAGTTACTGATAACCCTGTTGCAGCTACTACAAAAATAGTTCATGTTGGCTGGGGTTGGAGATCAAAGGCAACAGAAACATCACCCCCTCTGTCATGTGACAATGCTGTGGCTTAGCAACTGGCCACTGGGCCCAAACAAGCCATTATGGGAGAAGGTCGCTTGCATCACCATACCTGGAAGCATTACGTACTTTGCTATGGCAGCCACAAAAGGAGAGGTGGGTGACTGCAAGAGAGGTGAGCATGTAGTTGGTTGGTTAAGGGGGGAGATTATATTGTTTTTTTCTCAGACAATGCCACTGCACCCTGGATGGCCAAGGTTATGAGGTCTACTTAAAGTAGAGAAACCCTAGACATACTAGGGTAAGAATATTTCAATCTAGCTGCAGAAATGGACAGACAGCTATAATAAAACAATAATACTTTGTTTCCATTGCACCCCTGAGGGGGCAGTACTAGAGTTAGATGGACAGGATTACCAAGGATTCTGTAAGAGCTCCAGACACCTAACTCTTACCTTATTCTATTGGGGGTCAGCCGAAAAACAATATTTTAGAATTGGATCCTACAAGAGCTCCCTTCTCCACATCAATTCCAACATACCTTTTAAATGAAACAGGCAAAGGTCGTGCTAAATGAATAAACCCTTAAAAAATCCTTTTTTGAAGCACAGGAAACCTACATGTTCAGATACCAGACTATCTGCAAAAATAATTTTCAGGTGAACAATTAGATGGTCCATGTATCCTTATGGACTGGCGGGTGTAAACGGACTTGTGTCCATGTACACACACCTACCTCCAATCTGATCCGGTCCACAAAAAAAAAAAAAAAAAAAAAAGGGTCCGTCCCCCTCCGTCTAAGCGTATCGGAGGGCAGTCAGGTGTAAACAGATAGTGGTGCCTGTTTAAAAAAACCCAGCCATCCAAAAAGCAGAGCAGGCTCTGTCCATGTCCACTCTGCATAAACCGAGAGGACACTGACCTGTCATCCGCCTGCTCTGCTCAGTAGCAGATCTGTGAGTGGATTCCCTGCTGATCCGAACAGAGTCCGCCCCGTGTAAAAGGGCCTTCAACTTGAATTACCAATGTACCAGAATAAAAATAATTGAAAGAGCATTATTAACATTTAGTCATCGTAGTAAAATAATTACCCAGTGTCTGTTCTTCAGGCTGTAATTTAACATCAATTTTACTGTCCACACCGGCCTTTGAAAAAAAGAAAAAAGGAAATGTGATTTCCAGGTACTTGAGAAGTTGCAGATTAGAAATTTCAAGGAAAATGGATGAGTCAATTTTATTCCTATTATTCTGAGTTAGGATATTTTAAACTAAACATTTGTATTGTTTAATATCTTTATTCGACTCATATACATAAACCAGGGTGAACCCATGACATGGCTTTTGTAGATCCTTCTAAGTTTTCTAAACAGGATGCAGCAGTAGCTTTAGGATGGTCTCTCTCTAATGTAATCTCCTTCTAAACAGGACAGACAGAGGGAAAGGGGGAGGTGGGGTGGGGAGGTAGTCAATTCAGCTGTCTATGTGATATGAGATTCAACTCTTCATCTTTCTAAACAGGATTTTTTAGCAAAGTTAGAGCTGCAATTCCAGATTTACAAATATTGTCTAAGTACATCATAGTCATGAGTATCCCGATTTGAATCTTGGTGTGTTTTTTTTTTTTATTCCTTCCAGATCTGTGAAGTAATCCAATGTGAAGCATTCCTCTGTGTAGAAGCTTCTTGTAATAAACACAGATCTCTCTTCTTGCAGGATGACTGGTTCTCTTTCCTCCCCATCTGGTAGGTTTCTGCAGGCAGCCAGTTGTGGGTGGAGCCAACTGGGCCCCACCCACGGCTCAGATCTCTGCACAGGCTATGTGCAGCATAGTGATGATGTCAATGCTATCTTTACAAGTTAATATCCAGGTTTGCAAAGGCATTTGGTGCACACAAAGTAGATTTATATTCTTGGCAGCTACTGATAAATGAATTCAAATGAGGTCAGTAAAGGGACATTAGCTGATTTAATCACTTACCAAGTATGCAAACTTCTTTGTCTTTTAATCCTTGCCTATGTTCCTTTATAAGCCGGTGCCATGACCACTGCCCCAGGTTTTCTATTTCAGGGTGGCAATTTTCTCTTGCTATGTTGTATAGAGACACCCTTGCATGCTGAGCTAGAGCTATCTCTCCCCACACTGAGTGCATCAATAAAAACACACAGCCCCACAGCCTAGGATAGCAAGGCACTCCCCAGCTTGTTCCTCCTTGTCCTCTCTCGTCTTCTACAAGCTAACAGACTGACTGGAAACTTCACTGTTCCTGGTTAATGCTGCACTGTGAAGACCGGAAGTTCAGGGAAGCAGCACAGAGACAGCAGCATTGAAAGCTGAAAACTGCAAGTGCTGGAGTAAAAATTTTAACAAGTAGTTTATGGAGGGATGCTTATTGTATTGTGCTCGATGTCCTAAGCCACGATAGCTGAGGGATTAATACTTCTTTAAGGTTATCCTGATGATGTGAAGAAATCTACCTGCATACTATAAATATTAATATATAAAATTATTATGCATTATTTCAAATGTACCCGATTTAAAACGTAAACAATATTTTATTAGCTAGGCCTAAGCATAATAAATGAAAAAATATATACAGTATATTAAAACTATAGCCCCCAAAACCTGTGGTGCCATTTCCTTTGATATAGCATGCTGACACTCAGCAGATGCACACACATTTGAGGGCATACTGAAGTCACATAGGGGAAGCACTTTATGAGACAATGCAATGCTATGAGGCTGCAGGACTTTTAAAGTGGTTGTAAACCTTACATATACCCAGTGAAGTGACTGGCCTCAGGTGATAAACAGAGATGAAACAAAATCCTCCTGCATAAGTTGTACCTGTTTATCTACAGTCCTGTTTCCCCCTACATCCATTCAAAGTGCAGAATTTACACAGCAGCTCTCAGCTCTGAAAAGCAGGGGGCGGGGAGCTGAAACTACATAATTGAGGAGAGCTCTGAGAGCTGATTGGAAGGAAGTGACACACACCTTCCCAGAGCATGCAGGTACAGACTTGAGGTTGTCAATCACAGGCTGTGCTCTTCCCTGTTACCATTTTTCTCTTGGTGTCAGGGAAACTTGTCAGAAATTATTCATACTGATAGCAGAGGAACAAGGCAGAAGCCAGAAATGACACTTAGTGCTCTGAATAGAGAAACGTACACATATAGAGGAATATGCTTTGTCCATATTTCAAGTCTGCGGTTTACAACCACTTTATAAGCCCTGGTTCACACTGATGTGGTGCGGAATTCGCAGCGTTTTCTGTGCGAATTCCGTACCGCATTAGAATCGCACCCTGTTCATGCGAACCACTGCAGGTGTGTATGTTAACTTAACAACACCCTGAAAGCGGTCCGCAAAACGCGGTGCGATGTGCAGAATCGGATCGCACAGATGTGAATACCCATGTGATCAGATTCTAGTACGGACCAAAAAAAAGGTCCTGCACCTTTTTGGTGCAAGTGCGGTGTGATTAGAACCATACAAAATGTATGGCTCCAATTGCACCGTACACAAATCGCATTTGATTTGCACAGGAATGCGGTGCGGTTCCTGTGCGAATCACATGCGATACACAGCACCACATATATAAGAACCCAAGCTAAATCAAAGCACAGTTCCAAACTTGGAACACAAAGGCAGGATATTAACACAATATACAGTAGCTGTGAGACATGGGGGTTGTTTATCTCAGTATTAGATGGGTTTCAGCTATTCTTTTATTCAGCTTTATTAGATGAGTCCATGCCAGTAATTTTTTAATTCAGCTTTATTAGATGAGTCCATGTCAGTCTGAACTGTAGTTAAAGTGCTAGTAAAATCATTTGTATACAGGTGAAAATCGAAAAATTAGAATATCGTGCAAAAGTTCATTTATTTCTGTAATGCAACTTAAAAGGTGAAACTAATATATATGAGATAGACTCATTACATGCAAAGCAAGATAAGTTGTGATTTGTCATAATTGTGATGATTATGGCTTACAGCTCATGAAAGCCCCAAATCCACAATCTCAGAAAATTAGAATATTACATGCAATCAATAAAACAAGGATTGTACATAGAACAATATCGGACCTGTGAAAAGTATAAGCATGCATATGTACTCAGTACTTGGTTTGGGCCCCTTTTGCAGCAATTACTGCCTCAGTGCGACGTGACATGGAAGCTATCAGCCTGTGGCACTGCTGAGGTGTAATGGAAGACCAGGATGCTTCAATAGCGGCCTTCAGCTCTTCTGCATTGTTCGGTCTCATGTCTCTCATCTTTCTCTTGGCAATGCCCCATAGATTCTCTATGGGGTTCAGGTGAGGCCAATCAAACACAGTAATCCCACGGTCATTGAACCAGGTTTTGGTGCTTTTGGCAGTGTGGGCAGGTGCCAAGTCCTGCTGGAAAATGAAGTCAGCATCCCCATAAACCTCGTCTGTGGAAGGAAGCATAAAGTGCTCCAAAATCTCCTGGTAGACGGCTGCGTTGACCCTGGACCCTGGTTCAGCCATTCATGCAGCCGCAGCCCGTGAACCCAGAAGGAACATGGAAGCCTTCTGCAGCGATGACAGCGAGCCGCTGGAGGGTTTTGTTCTTAGGGAAGTCTTTCATAATGTGCTAGTATGCAATGCATACTAGCACATTATAATATGACCTTGAGGCAGTTTACTACCACTTTAAAAGCTTGCCAGCTCACTTTTATTAACCAGAATGAAAGTAAAGTTCCCAAAAATTGTTACCCAGTGGATTTTCACTATCAAAACAGGTAATGAAAATGCCAAGCCACCTGCCTTCTTCAGCAGCTCCACTGGTCTTGTCAGGATCCTTCAGATCCAGCACTCTGGCTTTTAGTTACAGCATCCACTCCTAGGCCTATTAATATGGGATCAACTGGCAACCTGGGCTCTCTCATTCCACAGATTCACAGACTCCCTCAATCCCCTGGACTAGCCTAGTTGTCTCAACTATCCCATTCCAGGCTCTCTGAGCTGTCCTGACTCTCCCAAATCCAGTGGGTAAGGGAACTCTCTAACATTGAGTCTCCTGAGTAGAGCACCTATCCTAATGGTAGTATGCCTGTCTCCTGGCTGGAGCACACACCTGTCTCTTGATAAGAGCGCTGAGCTATGGCCAGGCCTTGCTTTTAAAGAATGTGCACACCTGCACACTCACGCAACCTTCAGGTCTCCAGTAAGACCTGGACACCGTATTGGAGACTTCTTCCCACTGAAGTCTCTTTGAAGTTTCAAAGCTCCAGACCATGATCCAGGATTACCAAAGCCCAGGAACACTGGCAAGCCAGACTTTTCCGCTCAGAAACAGCACTCTGGAGCCCCTCAAGATGTAACTTTGATAATCCTGTGTACTCATACTTACATTGTGGCAGGGCCTAGCACTGTCTCAAGCTGAAAGTCATGAACGGAAAGATATTCAGAAAATTTGGGTGTCAAAAATAGAGTGCAGATTGGGTTCATATATAAAAATGATGATCAGAAAACACACCTTGTAAAACATGCCAATTAAACAATATATGTTTAAAAGTATCTCACAACTGCATTTGTTTTGCTAATCTAGGATTTTTGTACTCACGAAAAATCATTTTCTTCGAGCCTATTGAAGGACACACAAAGTAATAAAATGTGAGGTTATACTGCTGCTTACAGGAGGACTGGACAATGGCAAACAAAACAATTGCATGCCAGCCCAGGATAACTCCTCCAACTCCCAGAGATCCTCAGTTTGTAACAAAGCAGTACCAAGAGCATGATGATAAACACAGAGGGGTGGGACCTATATCCCTCAATTGATTCAAAGAAAAAGATTTTATAGTGAGTAAAACATCCAATTTTTCTTTCTCATCTCTTGGAGAACACAGGAAGCCATAAACCATCAGAATATCCAAATGTCAAGCAGAGGGGTGGGCAACACAGCAAATAAAATGCTAATATGGCCACTAAAACAACACAACTAGGGGCTGCCTACAGCTCAAAGCATCCATCTGAAGAACCTTACACCCAAAGATGGAATCAGATGAGAGACTCTTACAGCCCAAACCACATCCAGACAATGGAGGAAATCTGCCTATGATGAACTGGAGCTGGACAGAGGGATGAAAGAACACTGTCCTGGTTGCAATTGAAGGTTGAAACTACCTTAGATAGAAAGGGAGTTCTAGGTCTCAATGCCATCTTGTCAGGCCAGAAAGAACCACTATACCACTGATGAAGTTGATCAGTGAAACATTTTAAAGGATGATAGAACTGGCATTTGTCATTGTTTTTCCTTTGTTAATCAGTGTTACAACATGCTGGTTTTATTTTTGTTTCATCGGACTGTGTATCAAGTTCTTATCCTATTTACTGGAGGAAAGGTGGAAAGTCCCAGACGAACTGAAGTTGTAATCCTGTTTTTCTGTGCTGGTATGGAGCTTAAGAGGTGGAAGAAAAGCAGCAGGAGGTAACTTCTGGTGCTGTTGGTAATTACCTGATGAACTGATGATCACGAGTGTGTGGCAGACCTTCAGAACTGCGTTTCCAGTGAGTCTGATGGGTAATTGTTTGCAACTGAAAGATGGCAGTTGGAGTAACATTATTGTTTCTGATGGAAGACATGGTAGAAAGAGTGGTTCTCACTGCCCAAACCCCATCCAGACAATGGCTGTAAATCTGCTTATGATGAAGTGGAGGTGGACAGAGATGGAAGAATGCTGTCCTAGTTGAGTTGGAAAGTCAAACATACCTGAGGTAGGAAGGAAGGTCTGGGTCCCAACAACACCTTGTGCAAGACCAGAAAGAGTCATTATGCGCCTGACTAAGTCGACTGATGAAACATTTCAAGGATCAAACATTTCAAAGAACTCTCCTTCTGATGAATGTGAACTGGACAGAGGAACAAAATAATGATGATTTGGTTTAGGTGGAAGGGAACATCACCTTGTCTGTACAAAACCAGAAAGGGTTTCTTTACAGGACAAGGCTGACAGCTCAGATACTCGCCTTACAGCGGTGATGGCTACAACCTTATGGGTAAGAATGGAAAGAGGAATACATTTAATTCAATAGAAAGCTTTTAAAGCACCGAGAAAACCACATTCAGATCCCACAGACTGACAAGGGAGTGAAAGGGGTATAAAGGTCTTGATCAAGGAATGAGAAGCCAGTGAGACAGCAGGAGCAGATACGTGACCCTTAATGTTCCTGATTTCCAAACGCTGGTTCAAAATTATCTGCAAAAAGGCAAGGATTTGTCCCACAGAGAACTTCTAGGCTGCAGACGTCAGCAATTTCACCAGGCATATTGCAAGCAGCTGGGGGCACCTGGTACAATGGTACTGTCCTCTTGTGTCTAGAATCAGACATGCTGCAACTATAAGGCAGATTAACAACAGATACTAAAGTAATAAAACAAAATTAGGATCCACTGCAAAAGGAAATATACATATATTGTAGCCGACTCACCCAAAATAAAGGGTGGTGTCCTCAGGACCCATAGTATACATAACAAAACATTGGCTTGTGGGTAGAGAACCCACAAAAAGAAGACCCAAAGAGAACAGATCTGCGGCTTAAAAATGTATATATTGAAAAATATCGGAATCTGAATGATACAATAACCCCTCCACAATAAAACAAAATGATAACGTCGCTATATCATAAAAACACCCGCCTGGGCACACATGCATACTCTCCAGGCACACAATATGACATTAACTTGTGGATGGAATAGTGGGGGCCAGAGAACCCTGTAGTTGTAGCTGATATAACTGGATCAATGATCGTGAATAATCTACAATAACAGTGCAATTGGATGATGTAGGGGTACTGGTCCCTCAACAGGTGCCAAGGATATATCACATGTCAACATGTATAATAATAGATTGTAATGGCACTCCATCAGTCCAAAAGGGATATATTCAATCAGTGCTGACAGGTTAGGAACCTGTAATGGATAGTTCCCATAGGCAGTCGAACCATGCTAGGTGTCACAATGATATCAGTACAGGTGACAGACGGACACATCACAGATCAACAGGGAGTCAATAGTGGTCACATAGAAGCAACAGTCTGAAATTCAGTGATCTGGATGAGGACTGGGATGAACCACAGCCGTGTGCTGCGTGCAGACAAGAGGAGACACCAGGTGTGTAAGGCTCAACAGAGCAATCAGAGTCCAGGGGATAACCCCTGATGCGTTCACAACCCGACCTAAATGTGATCAGCTCACCCCTCCAGGAACAGTCACTGGCTTCAATGGATCTCGACCCACTGTGTGGTACGGCTGGAGTCACCTTCCATATAATGATAGCTGTACATGGAACTGCAATGGCGTGTCCAGCGTGGTGCGGCGAGATGGCAAAGCCACGTGGAGGTGCCTTGGATGCGGGTGTCATGACACTGTGACGTCAACGCGTTTCACCCACCGAGTCACGTGAGCTTCTTCAGAATGCTGCGGTCAAGATATCAAGAGTTTATATAAAGTCCAACACTTCACTTCCTGATTTACCCAAAAGAATAACAACAGATGAGGATACAAGGCTAGGCCTCAGGTACTCACAAACCCAACCACCAATAGGTGTAAAGTCAGGCAGCCGGAAGTGACCAAGCCACTGCAGGTGCACAGTAGGAACCAACCGAGGATCGACATTTCACATGTCTCTTGCAAGCAGAAGCAACAATGGGGGGATACTTCAATTCTGAAGGGCATAAGGGACATTTCACCCAGCAGCTGACATCATGCTCTGTCTCTCGGCATAAATTACATCTTTAAAAACAGAAAGTGGGACATTTGAAAGCGTTCAGTGGACAAAATAACAAATCGCTCCTAGTGCTCAGCCTGAATGCCCTACTCACAAAGTGAGTCTTCTGAGACAAAACAAGCAGTGAGACAATGTCAATATATGTGGACCTGGAAAGCGTTCCACTTTTAGGTGTCTTAGGCTTTACCTTATGCCCACAGGTTTCAGACTAACTCCAAAATGTTGAGTTGTGGCACTACAAAGTTAAGCTGAGGAAAGAGCGATATGGATAGCTGCCATGTAGAGACCAGCTCATGAAGCAATGTAGTAAGAAATCCTAATAATCTAATTAAAAAAAAGCTAACTAGCAAAAAGGGTTGGACCTTTCATAGCAGAGCCGAAGAAAATTAAAATTCCATAATTCTAGGAAACTAGCTAACAGCTTGGAGTAGAAGGAATGCTTGCATTAGGAGGGTTTTTCTTGGGCTACAATTTTTTTCTTTTGCCAGTGCCCAGTGCTACTGTAGGAGGTAGTATAACTGACAGTCAATGACTTTTGGTGAGAAAGAAAACTAAAGCTACGGATGCACCGAAATTTCAGCCACCGAAACATATCGGCTGAAAATAGCTCTATCCTCATTCTGCCGATAGGTAACATTTAGCCGATACAGGTGCCAATACAGGGGACTGTGTGTACTGCAGACGTGAGGGGGAAGGGGGGGGGGGCGGAGAAAGGTAGAAGAGGAGCAGTGTATACAGTGACTGGCTGTCACTATATGTCAGTGCCGGTTTTTAAATACAATTGCCGGGTTTTTTTTTTTCTCTTCACTATAGCTTAGAGAATCAGCTGTCACTTTCCCCGAGCTAAAATAAACAACGTTTTTTTCCTGAGCAAAAGCTCCGGGGAAAGTGATAGCTATGGTGAAGAAAAAAAGAAGCCGGCAATTGCATTTAAAAATCGGCACTGATATAGTGACAGCCAGTGAGGGAGCCTTTCTGTATACACTGCTACCTCACTGTATACACTGCTCCTCTCCTGCCCCCTCCCCTCTACAAAGAGGACCTGTCACTTATATGCTATCACATAGGGGACTATTGGACCTCTATGTGATAGCAATAAAATTGTAAGTTAAAAAAAATAAATAAAAATCAACATGAAGGTAGAAAAAAAAAAAATTGGAGCCTTCCCACCCTCACATTATGCAGACATTTCAGTTTCGGTTTTGTTTTCGGCCATATGCATGCTGAATTTTTGGTATTGGTTTTGTCACCAGAAAACCCTTAGATGAGGTGCCTGCATTAATTGTAATTTTTTAGGATTTCTCTTTTATTTTCAGGAGTGCAGTCATCCCAGCACACAGGCACTGTGCCAGAATGTACACAGACATGTTCAGCTCACTGTGCATTTTACAGAAGACTGTAAGCAGATGTTGTATGTCACTTCTGCAATAAAGAGCCTGCCTGCTCACAGGTTTTTTTTTTTTTCATTTTAGACCTTAGTTCCACGTTAAGGTTTGAAAATGAAAGCTATTGGCTGATTGGGTGCCATAAAAAGCTGCTCCAGATTCTGGCTGCTCCAGTCTTTGTAAACTCCAATCAAAGTGTTTTGGAACTACAGAACACCTCACCCTCTCTTCATCTCTATAAAATGGGAGATCAGCAATTTTTTTACTGCAATGCTTTCAATGATACACTTAATAGTCCAAGGGGAGCACATAAGTATTCATTGTTAGGGTTTTTTATACACCTTGATATTTTAAATGAACACTTTACTGACACAAGCAAGTACTGTTATGTACCTCAGTCCAGTATTCCTTTGCACTTCTGACATCCTCTGTGTCTCGCACGTTTGCAACAACCTTTCCATCAGATGGCAATACCAATGCCAAGATCAAAGGATTGTAACCATAGCTCCACCCTTAGTAAAACGAGAGACAGTGCTGCTTAGCAAAGAAATATACAAATATTACATGTACTTTATAGTAAAAAAACAAATACCTACATGAAGATGTTTGCAGTGTGGACAGTGCAAATATGTCATATACCAGTGTTTCTTAACTCCAGTTCTCAAGTACACCCAACAAGTCATGTTTCCAGAATTTCCTTCACCTTGTGTGCCTGCCACCAGTGATGTAATTGGTATTGCTGGTTTGGTAGTTGTAAGGCCTCGTGCACACTTGAGCTTAAAAATGCTTGTTTTTCAGGCATTTGACTTTTTTTTTCTGCTTCTAAACACCCCCCCCCCCTCCCATGTCAACCTATGTGGCCATGCACATAGACATTTTGAAGCATAACAATTAAAAAATTATCAATTGTGCTTTCAGGAGAAAAGCAATTTGGCTGAACAAAATGATTGACACGTTTAGCGTTTGTTTTTTTATTTCAATGGCTGGAATAAATTAATATTCTGGCCAATTAAAAACTGCCAAGTACTTGAGGTGCCTACATTCATTTGCATAATGCAGCTTAGGCGTGTTTTTGAAAATGCTCTCCTGCATTTACAAAAGCCCCAGTGTGCATGAGGCCTAAGAGCCATTTGATACAAGAGAAAGCCTCGTCACATCATTTGCGGGGGCTACTTGAACATTGCAGTTGGGAAACACCAGCATAGAGCGTGCAAGAGTGAAGAGGCTATGGAAAAAGGAATTGTAGCAATAAAATCCAAGAAAGTCAATACAATAATCTAGGGCAAACGATAATGTGTATTTGTTCTATACAGCATGTGACAGAGCCGATCAATATTACAACATAGGAAATGTGAATGGAATTTGTACTATCACAGATGGTATGTAGCAGAGAAAAACTACAATAATTATAGGAGGAAATACACAGTCAGGTCAAGGTAATTAATACAAGGGTACAAGTGAAACAGGCAGAATGACGGGGTAAAGAACTGAGAAGATCTGCGCTATAAGATAGCTTATCTGACATATGGAATCAACTCTGGGATCAAGGTACATAATAGGAAGGAAATGAGCACAAGGCAACACATAAAAACTGGCCATGCAAATAGATAAGCAAATTAGCACAGAAGAAATGAAAAGAAGAGGCTGATTTACTAAAATTCAGAATCGTCACAAAAAACATTGTGTGCTTTGTCACTTCGATTATTCAATAATGTGAAAAACAAATTCCAGTTTACGTATTTCATCTGCCCATGATTGGATAATTGAAGTGAATAGTCACACTATTTCTAAGAGTGAAGATCCTCAACTTAGTAAATCAGCTGTTACACGCCATAGATAAGTGTATGTGTTTGATTCATGTTTCTTCTGGCAATGTTCCATGCATCCTCACCCATATCTAAAATCTTCTTAGATTTAATTATTTTAGCCAGGTTTGCCAATAGTTGGATGGCATCGCTGCTTATATCCTGTGGAGTGATCCTTGAAAGATGCTGAAAACACAAGTCATCATTACTTTACAAAGCTATTTTTTACAGGAGAAAGCAGTCATACATTTTTCCAAGGTAACTCATTAAAAATTAAGAATGCTGATTTAAACGCCTACCTGTGATGTGTCAAATACCATAGGTTGATGTCAGACAAGGGAGCTGACATTCAGCACTTCTTAACAGAGAAACACGGTGTGTCTAACTCCCACTGAGCTACATCAGCTTCCTACTGAAATACTGTAAATGGAGATTGCTCTCCCTTCAAGTAAATGTAAGCCACAACTGAATTTCATTCAGTTTGCTAAAGCGCTGTGTATCTCAAGCAATTGCCATTTTATTAAAAATAGGACACTTGTTTTCACCTTTTTTATTTTTTTGTTACATCTCAGTGCTGCAGATCTCCTCCTATCTACATGCAAGCACACCAATGAGGTCTACATGGCATTTTCAGGGCATGTTATGTGACAACCATGCCTGGCTTGTCTTATGATTGGGTGACAATTGGGAGGAGACAGAGCACTGTTATATTATGAACAAGCATGGCAGGATCACCAACTATTATTTTAATGAATAGTGCAGACTTAACATTTGAATGTCTTTAAAATATACTTTACAGTATTAAAGCTAAAACATGTAGGGTGTAACATGTAACAGCCCCCATCCCCCTTCCTCCTGTGACAGCAGGCAGGGGTTCCTATCCCACGCAGCCACTGTCACATTTTAAATCTGCGCATCAGTGTGGGGCTCCACCTGCACATCTGCACCATTTATTCACAGGGATCTGTGTTTCTATCTGCAAACATTATCCATTACTAGAAATAGGTGATGTTGAGACAAAGAACCAGCAAAGAACATACTTTCTCTGGCATGAACTCCGTTCAACAACTTTCAAAACCCCAATTCTGCTTTTGGACAATCAACATTTACAAATTCCATGGTGGTGGTGTAACCTACAAAATATCTTAAAAATTACAAAGCAAGTCAAGTTGAATGTAACCAACTACTACAACGTACTAGATACTTGCTACTTCCACCCATAGTACCTAGGCAAAAGTGATGTCCTCAATGAGATCCTTGCAGGAGACAATGGGAACTCAGAGGACTGCAATATTAGGTTTGCCCAGATGCTGCAGGCGGCAGAAGGGATAAGGTAAGTGTATTTTCTAAGGCTGGCCATAGATGGATCTTTTTTTTTTTGGTGGGATTGGCCAAGGGGCTGATCACAGGAAAAACAAATGGATTCCATGATCCAAACAAGCAAGGTGGATGGAGGAATTCTCACTGCCGTGCCATTGTATTCTAACAGTGGGACTCCTCCACTGTCAGAATATAATGATCAGAGGTTGCAGCCAGTGATTGACAAAGTTTTCCAACATTCCTATTCAACAGAAGCTGATCATTAGATTGACTTCTGTCGAATAGAAACGGCCATATATGGATCAAAATTTTCATCAGGGACCGGCCAAATTGCGAGCCATCTATGGCCAACTTAACTTTTTTTCTATGACAGATGTTTAGTTTTTATAGTGGTAATGCGATGATTAGATAGGGAAAGGGGCCACTATAAAATAGACCTTGTCTTTTAGTGCACGGTATGCTTTACCGATGTGAAAGCACTGTTGAAGTTAAAGTATATGTAAACCCAGTCACTAATGTCCAATATAAACCTTCACATTACATCATTTTAAAAGGTATTTTTCAAGCTTAAACCTACAGCTTTCATTAAAAGAATCTCTAATAATTCTGCTATGAAGGTTCTTGTTAACATAATACATGTTCAAGGGTGACAACCGTCTCCCAATTCTTCTTCTCTTGCACTCCTCCATTGTTACCTAGCCACATGCACTACTGATGGAGAGCATAAGCGGCCACATCCCAGCACATTGCCACTACCAGTAAACAGATCCAGAGTAATGGTGTGTGAGTAATGCTAGACTGAGTGGATGTCGTCAAAAAGCAGCTGAGAGGAGATCAGCAGCACTGAGATGCAAATAAGTTGAAAATATTATTTTATGGAAAAAAGTCATAGGAATATTTATTATATACAGTGCCTTAGCACAATAAATGTCATCTAGTTAGGGTTCAGGTTTACTTTAATAAAATAGGATTGAACTAAAGTTTTGTAGGTACAATAAAATAAATAAATATATCCATATTACAAGTCATCACAGAAAATGCTTACATAGCTTCACTAAGAAACATAGAAAAACAGAAAAAAAGGAAAAGATTTACAAAACATCCTCCCAGTGATGCAGTACAATGAACATGGATTATACAGATGAGTATATTTGCTTTTCTTGGATGGACTACTTAGGCTCACAGGAAAGAGACATATACTCTGTGTGAGTTAAGTAACTCATGCAGTATTCCACAGGTCACATCAGAAGGATTTACAATATATCACTGTATAAGGATTAGGCCTACTTTAAAGTAGATCTGAAGGCAATATTTTTGCTTTTACAAAGAATTTTATTATACAATAGGTAACAGCAGAGATTTAGTCAAAAATAGATGCATTGACCGACAGGAAGGTATTCGATGAGTAATACAGAATATGTACTGATGCCAAGACATGAGAATAAACTCCGTACACAGGTGCCATATATATACAGTGGGGCAAAAAAGTATTTAGTCAGCCACCAATTGTGCAAGTTCTCCCACTTAAAAAGATGAGAGAGGCCTGTAATTGGCATCATAGGTAGACCTCAACTATGAGAGACAAAATGAGAAAAAAAATCCAGACAATCACATTGGCTGATTTGGAAAGAATTTATTTGCAAATTATGGTGGAAAATAAGTATTAGGTCACTATCAAAAGTTCATCTCAATACTTTGTTATATATCCTTTGTTGGCAATGACAGAGGTCAAATGTTTCCTGTAAGTCTTCACAAGGTTGGCACACACTGTTGCTGGTATGTTGGCCCATTCCTCCATACAGATCTCCTCTAGAGCAGTGATGTTTTGGGGCTGTCGCTGGGCAACACGGACTTTCAACTCCCTCCAAAGGTTTTCTATGGGGTTGAGATCTGGAGACTGGCTAGGCCACTCCAGGACCTTGAAATGCTTCTTATGAAGCCACTCCTTCATTGCCTGAGTGGTATGTTTGGGGATCATTGTCATGTTGGAAGACCCAGCCACGTTTCATCTTCAATGCCCTTGCTGATGGAAGGAAGTTTGCACTCAAAATCTCACGATACATGGCCCCATTCATTCTGTCCTGTACATGGATCAGTCGTCCTGGTCCCTTTGAGGAGAAACAGCCCCAAAGCATGATGTTGCCACCCCCATGCTTCACAGTAGGTATGGTGTTTTTTGGATGCAACTCAGCATTCTCTCTCCTCCAAGCACGACAAGTTGTGTTTCTACCAAACAGTTCTATTTTGGTTTCATCTGACCATATGACATTCTCCCAGTCCTCTTCTGGATCATCCAAATGCTCTCTACAAACTTCAGACGGGCCCAGACATGTACTGGCTTAAGCAGGGGGACATGTCTGTCACTGCAGGATCTGAGTCCCTGGCGGCGTAGTGTGTTACTGATGGTAGCCTATGTTATGTTGGTCCCAGCTCTCTGTAGGTCATTCACTAGGTCCCTCCGTGTGTTCCTGGGATTTTTGCTCACCATTCTTGTGATCATTTTGACCCCACGGGGTGAGATCTTGCGTGGAGCCCCAGATTGAGGGAGATTATCAGTGGTCTTGTATGTCTTCTATTTTCTAATTATTGCTCCCACAGTTGATTTGTTCACACCAAGCTGCTTGCCTATTGCAGATTCAGTCTTCCCGGCCTGGTGCAGGTCTACAATTTTGTTTCTGGTGTCCTTCGACTGCTCTTTGGTCTTCACCATAGTGGAGTTTGGAGTGTGACTGTTTGAGGTTGTGGACAGGTGTCTTTTATACTGATAACAAGTTCAAACAGGTCACATTGATACAGGTAATGAGTGCAGGACAGAGGAGCCTCTTAAAGAAGAAGGTACAGGTCTGTGAGAGCCAGAAATCTTGCTTGTTTGTAGGTGACCAAATACTTATTTTCCACCATAATTTGCAAATAAATTCTTTCCAAATCAGCCAATGTGATTGTCTGGATTTTTTTTCTCATTTTGTCTCTCATAGTTGAGGTCTACCTATGATACCAATTACAGGCCTCTCTCATCTTTTTAAGTGGGAGAACTTGCACAATTGGTGGCTGACTAAATACAATAAGTTGCAAAAATGATGGACATTTAGAGACCAATGACATAATAAACTCGAAGGAAAAATTGTCAATATATCAGCACACAGAAAGCGGGGAGAATGGGAGATGGAGCCTCTCTGAATGCGGATAGATACTCCATATTCAGGGCTCTCAAAGGAGTCCAGCATATGAATATAGTACTGCTGGTATGGCACTCAAAGCAGAAATCACAATCAGCACAAATAGCATAAAAACAGACTAAACAAAAGGAAAGAGAGGAACGAAGAGAAAGGAGACAAGACAAAGAAAAGGGCTCCAGAGGGACCGCAGCAGAAAAAAAAAAGAAGAAAAATAAACTGATATGAAAATTTTAAATCGACAAAAGGGACTGGTCGAATCTCAACGGTAGAGCTATATCAAGCCAGGGACGCCATGTCTGCAGAAATTTTGTGTGGGTATCTAACAGTATAGCTGTCAGCTTTTCGTTAACCATTATAAAGTTCATCCATTTTTGACAGCCTCAAAGCTGAGGAGCGGAGTCTTTCATGCCTTCGTGATCGTCAGCTTGGTAGCCATGAATAGGTGCGATGCCAGCCGCTATTCAGGACGAAGTAGGCCCACTGTTGGTTTAAATAAAAGCGCTTCATACGGGTTGCGCTTAATGGCTGTGTGAAACATAGTGCGGAGAAGGGCATAAACTCTAATCCAGTCTGCAAACCTTGAAGGCAATATTTTTTCATTTTGGATAACGTGAAAGAGGATTCTTACCCATGTCAGGGTATTTTGATATCTGCGTTCCTATTTTTTCCACTGGTAAGCAAGTCCAGAAGTGAGAGGAAATCCCTCCAAATGGAGGGAAATTTCTGGTGGTCACCAGAACTAATGTCCTTATTGGAAGATTTCCCCTCTATTCCTGTTTTGACGACCACCCAAAGTTTGTGATGTTCACTTTCTGTGATAACGTTCACCAGAAGAAATACAGAGGGTGAATCTTCCTAACAGGGGCACAAACAGCAATAAAAACCTGACAGGTGTTCTAAATCCTTTTCCATTCTAATATTAAAAAAAGGTTGGCCTTCAGTTGGAATGGGGCTCTAAAGAGCCACTCCAACCTAATGCCTGCCAGCAACCCTGCTTCCCCCACACTGGAAAATGGCACAGGCGACTTAGTGGCATAAAACTTTGCTTCAGAAACTGTTCTGCCTGGAGATAGCCTTACATGTTTATATGCGGTACGATCCTTGCCTTTGTGCTCTTGTTGTAATAAAGTCTTCCACCAAGCTTGTCCAGATACTGATGGCTTGCAGCTCCTTCTAGTTTAGTATGCCGAGTATCTCCCACAAACATCTCAGAATTCAAGTGCCAGCATGCCGATCAGAACAGAAACTGCAGCTTAAGTGTTCATTCGCCTTACATCCTATCATCAAATTTCATTTTGCTTCAAATGAAGTATCTTTATTACAAAGCTATTAACCATTTCATACCTGTCTTAGCTTCTTCGCAGATGGGTGTTCTCTGAGGGAGAGGCGGAGCAAGTACGCTCTACGTGGGTCATCCTGTCCATCAAACATTTTCTGTGACTTTTTCCTTCTGTACATAAAATATTTTTTGCCTAGGAAAAAAAAACCACTTGGGTAAAAAAATGGTAAATTCCATTATCACAACGTTATATACTTTTACTTTTCTAAATTAGTCTTGATTGGTGACCATGGCATTTATAAGAAGAGTCTGTAGTGGTTGTGGCGTGGCCAATATTTAATCATTCTTTACAAGCAGCAACAAAATTTTAAAACAAACCTTGCTGTTGCTGCAGGCATTGGGGTTGACATGCAAAAACTGGAGAGTGCAAAATCTGGTGCAGATCTGCATAGAAACCAATCAGCTTCCAAGTTTTTTTTTGTCAAAGCTGAATTGAACAAGCTGAAGTTAGAAGCTGATTGGCTAGTTTTAGTAAATCAACCCATTGTGTGGCCATATATCCTGAAAGTTTGCAGCCAATGCACAGGAAGAGGGGAGAGAGAACAGTCAGGATGCGCTATTCCTATCGCCCGGTGCCCGGGACATGCAGTTATGGGGGCCGGGAAGGTGGTTCCTTTTTAAATTTAGCCCAACGGGCAAGAAGTGGTATTTTTTTTTTTTTGCCCCTTAACAGGGAGGACACCAGTGTAGCATGAAGATCTGTATCCCGTGACGAGCGGTAACTGCAGGGAATACAGATCTTCATGCTATACCGGGAACGGCGGGCGTCTGTGAGACCAGGTTGTGGTGGCTTTCCAGAAGGACCCGAGGACAGCGTGGACAGACCTACTGCTGGCACTGCATGAGGGGGAGTCCCAAAGAAGCTGGCAGTGTCGTGGGCAAATAGGTCGCCTGCCTTGTCAGATGGCTGACAAGTGTCATTGGAAGGGGGTGTGTGGGGGTTTAGCTGCCTACACACCAAGACATTGTCGAGAGAATGGAGACTGGTGTTGGTGGCGGTGGGGGGGTTGCGCTACCCACACCGCCATACATTTAGGAGGTGTGCAGAGGGGTCATACTTGTCCTCTCATAGGAGGTGGGGCGGAATGTCTGTCCTCTTATTGGAGGGGGGTGTCAAGTCTGTCCTTTTATAGGATGGAGGGGGGGTCATGTCTGTCCTCTTATAGGAGGAGGGACATGTCTGTTGTCTTGTTGGAGGGGGGTCATGTCTGTTCTCTTATAGGGGGAAGGGGTATTGTCTGCCCTCTTGTAGGGCCCTCCTACAAGGGGGTCATGTCTGTTCTCTTATGGGAGGAGGGGGTCATGTCTGTTCTCTTATAGGGGGAAGGGGCCATGTCTGCCCTCCTGTAGGGCCCTCCTACAAGGGGGTCATGTCTGTTCTCTTATGAGGGGGGGGGGGGTCAGTACAGTACTTAAAACTGAATGATTAGTTTCAAATAATTTGCCAATCTTTTAATCCCTTGGTAGGCTCATAGCAATTCAAAACTTTTTTCTGAGGGCCTTAGAGAGCTCTGTTGTTCTTGGCAGGATGACACCACACCTCAGTAGCCAAGAGAACACCAGACCCCAGATCTCTAGCAGGGTCCAAATTGCTCCAGCGGTTAAAAATAAATTCCTTCCTGACTCCCCGAATACATTTGGATTTTCCCTGGGTCAACAATCTGTGGTGCTATTACCTATAAATGTTCATATCCAGTTACAGTTTGTGCAACTCTTTTTAAAACAATGTACTAAACAGGCCGGAACTCATTCTTAAAGCGGAGTTCCAGCCGATTTGTGTTTATTAGGTCAGCAGCTACAAGAACTGATAAACACACACTTTCCTGTCCCAGAGTCCAGCGATGTTCTTACCCGCGCCGTCCCTTCTCTCCTCCATGGCGCTGGCATCTCAACTGTGGGCACCAGTCTGGTGCCCACTGCGCATGTGCCAGTTGCGCTGTGCCTCCTAATTGGTTGGGCAGTCTCCTGGGACCTGTGAAAGTTCCCAGGAGACTGCAGGAGAGAGGAGGGGGCAGAACGTCGGCTCACTTATCTGCGGCGAACTGATCCGGAAGTGGGAGTACCTGTCAAAAACAGATATCCACTACAACCTCCTCCACCAAAAGGTGCCAAATATGGCAGCGGAGGGGGGTGGTGGAGGCAAATAAGTGGAGCTTCTGCTTTTGAGTAGAACGCCACTTAAAGGAAATCTATTCCACGTTGTCAGAGCTCTTACTTTGAAGAAGCCTTTTTGTATGTGGAGTTTAAATTTCTTTTCTAGAGCTGTAACGAACGATTATTTTCATAATCCATTAGTTGGCCGATTTTTGCTTAGATTAAATGGATAAAAACCTCAAAAATGTTTGGTGTATAATTTAGTTAATCCAGTATGTAAAGTAATTTATTCTGGAATATCTATATGCAGTAGTAAATATAAATAACCACCTATAAGGCTGGGGACAAACATTTCTAATCCACTCTGAGAATAACAAACAGAAGAGATTTATATACTGTACTATTAGAAGTTGAATCTGCTACATATCCCCAGACTCCAAGATCAAAAGAAAAAAACAAAAATGAAAAAAAAAGCCTAAAATGCTGTTTTTGCAGATTTTCTCACAGGATTGTAATACTCTATTGTCATATACAGTTGCAAGAAAAAGTATGTGAACCCCTTGGGATTACGTGGAGTTTTGCATGAATTGGGCATAAAATGTGCTCTGAACGTCATCTAAGTCACAACAATAGAAGAACACAGTCTGCTGAACATAATACTAACAAACATTAGATGTTGCATGCTTTAATTGCACATAACATGTAAACATTCACAGTGCAGGGAGGAAAAAGTATGTGAACCTTTGGACTTAATAACTGGTTGACCCTCCTTTGGCAGCAATAACCTCAACCAAACATTTCCTGTAGTTGCAGATCAGACCTGCACAACGATCTGGAGTAATTTTGGACCACTCCTCTTCACAAAACTGTTTCAGTGTAGCAATATTCTTGGGATGTCTGGTGTGAATCGCTCTCTTAAGGTCATGCCACAGCATTTCAATCGGGTTGAGGTCAGGACTCTGACTGGGCCACTCCAGAAGGCGTATTCTGTGCTGTTGCAGCCATTATTTTGTTGAATTACTTGTATGCTTTGGGTCATTGTCCTGTTGCATCACCCATCCTCTGCGGAGCTTCAATTGGCGGACAGATGGTCGTATATTTTCCTGCAAAATGTCTTGATAAACTCTGGAATTCATTTTCCCATCAATGACAACAATCCGTCCAGGCCCTGAGGCACCAAAGCAGCCCCAAACCATGATGCTCCCTCCGCCATGTTTTACAGTGGGGATGAGGTTTTGATGTTGGTGTGCTGTGCCTTTTTTTCTCTACACATAGTGTTGTGTGTTCCTCCCAAGCAACTCAATCTTGGTTTCATCTGTCCACAGTATATTTTGCCAGTAGTGCTGTGGAACATCCAGGTGCTCTTTTGCAAACTTCAAACGTGCTGCAATATTCTTTTTGGACAGCAATGGCTTCCTCCGTGGTGTCCTCCCATGTACTCCATTCTTGTTTAATGTTTTCCTTATTGTAGATGTGTCAACAAAAATGTTAGCATGTGCCAGAGATTTCTGTAGGTCTTTAGCTGACACTCTGGGATTCTTCTTTACCTCATGCAGCATTCTGCGCTGTGCTCTTGCAGTCATTTTTACAGGATGACCACACCTAGGGAGAGTAGCAACAGTGCTAAACTTTCTCCATTTGTAGACAGTCTGTCTTACCGTGGACACATGAACATCAAGGCTTTTGGAGATACTTTTGTAACCCTTTCCAGCTTCATGCAAGTCAACAATTCTTGATCGTAGGTCTTCTGAGAGCTCTTTTCTGCGAGGCATGGTTCACATCAGACAGTGCTTCTTGAAACCAGTAAACCCAAAACAGGTGTGTGTTTTTTAAGGGCAGGGCAGCTGTCAGCAACACATCCAATATCATCACACTGATTGGAGTCAAGGTTGGCTCACTCCTGGCTCCAATTAGCTCTGGGAGAAGTCATTAAGCTAGGGCCTCACATACTTTTTCCTCCCTGCACTGTGAATGTTTAGATGTTATGTGTAATTAAACCATGGCAACATCTAATGTTTGTGTAGTATTATGTTCAGCAGACTGTGTTCTTCTATTGTTGTGACTTAGATGACGTTCAGAGCACATTTTATGCCCAATTCATGCAAAACTCCACGTAATCCCAAGGGGTTCACATACTTTTTCTTGCAACTGTATAGGTAAACTGATACAAACTACCTGCGCCTTCTGTCACTTATGCTGGCCATATACAAACACATTTTTGTTTTAAGACCATTCGTTCAAATTCATAATCGTTAGTGGGATCAAATCGACATTCATTTTCAACCACAGTGACAGGAAAATTTAGAGGAGCAGAATAGAAAACTCAGGGCAAAATTTTTGTTTTCCCATGCTGTGCCCACACTTCATTGGTTAACTGCTCGTTTTTGTCTAGGGCAGTCGTTTCCAAACTGCAGCCTGGGGGTCAGATGAGGCCCTTTGCTTGCCTTTATCTGGCCCTTGGGCACTATTACCTCCATCCACTGACACCAACAATGGGGTATAATTCCTGTCACTGACACCAATAATGGGGTACTATTCCTCCCACATACACCCACAAAAGGAAATAATTCCTCCCACTGACACCAATTATGGGGAACAATTCCTTTCATTGACATTAACGATTGGGCAGAATTATTTCTACTGATACCAACGATGGGCAACTATTCCTTTCCCTGACACCAGTAATGGGGCACTATTCCTCTCACTGATACCAATGAAAGGACACAATTCCTTCTACTGACACCAGCGATGAGGCATAATTCCTTCCACTGATACCAACGATGGGTCACTATTCCTCCCACTGATAGCCAATGATGAGGCACTATTCCTCCCACTGCCACCAATGATGTGGCACTATTCCTCCCACTGCCACCAATGATGTGGCACTATTCCTCCCATGGATACCAATGATGGGGCACTATTCCTCCCACTGACACCAAGGATGGGGCACTATTCCTCCCACTGACACTAAAGATGGGATACTATTCCTCCCTCTGACACTAAGGATGGGGCACTATTCCTCCCACTGATACCAATGATGAGGCACTATTCCTTCCACTGACACCAATGACGGGGCACTATTCCTCCCACTAATACCAATGATGAGGCACTATTCCTCCCACTGACACCAATGACGGGGCACTATTCCTCCCACTGTCACCAAGGATAGGGCATTGTACACTCTCACTAGACATCAGGCAAATTTCTACTCCCACTGGCCCCCCTAAAGTCTCAAGAACAGTAAACTAGCCCTTTGTTTAAAACTTTTGGGAGACCCCTGGTCTAGACGATTGCAGAGATATACTTACCTAATCCACCAATCCTCTTTGTGCAAGACTGGTCCCTGTCGCTCATGCTTCCCCCGCATGCTAGTGGTCTTGTGAATGGACTGTTCCTGACATCATCGTGCCCATAGACTGACTTTGGATGTGTAGACGCCAGGAACAGTCCGCCGTTAAACATGGGGAGCACAGTTTTCCGGAGGATCGAAGGATTGGGTAAGTATAGCTTTAATTTGTGCCCATGGATAAAACGAGCTTCCCACTGCATGGGACAATAAACATTTTTCCTGGAGTTCTTTATTTGTACCTCCAGCCTATCGTTGTCCAGCTTCTCTGGATTCAGTTCAAGTTCTTAGGCACTTACTGACATGTAGGGATGGTGTACTGAGCTGTATGTGTGCTGCAATGTATTTTCTGATATGTAAACAAATAATGCATTCTGTATGCAGGCCAACTAATCGATTATGAAAATACTTGGCAACCATTTTCATAATCAATTATGTTGATTAGTTGTTTCAGCCTCTTTTCCTCCAAACGTATAGAGTACTCCCTTGTCCTCTGTAATGGCCTGAAAGTGAATAACTCCACACCAAGTTCACTATATGGACCATTTATGTATTTACAGTATACATGGAGAGCATATTCCCCCTTGAAGTGGTATTGAAGACAGTTTCCTAAAATCCACTGACAGGTAGGGCTTTTATAACGGAAGAGATCCTAATGGTCTCTTCTATCAAATTCCTTCCTCTGCCTGTCAGCAGTAATGTGATCTGAGCTGCACATGCACAGTTTAGATCACATTCATGGCAGCCGATCAGTGCCACAGTGATGTGACTCCTGTGCATGTGTGGGAGAGACGTCATCGCAGCCTGGCCATTGATGAGGCTGAACACAGAAGGAAGACTGAGTGAAGATGGAAACAGCCCTGCGACCTGCAGTAATGGTGACAGTGCAGAGGTGGAAGGCACATTATGGCAGGTAAGTCTGCCATATTGTGCTGGCATGCAGTGCGCACCAGAACATTATGGCATTACCCACCAAAAGGGCCATTTTTACACAAAATGTCCTCTAGGATGCATCACTAGAGGGTTCACCAGCAGGATGAAGGAGGTCCTGACTCCGCTATATAGATCTTTAGTTATACCTCATTTAGTCCAGTTCTGGAGACCTCACTCACAAAAAGATATTGAGAAGATAGAACGAGTCCAGAGATGGGTAACAAAAATGGTGAAAGGTCTGGGGGATAAAACATATCAAGAGAGACTTCAGGAACTTAACATGTACAGTCTGGAGGAAAGAAGGGAAAGGGGAGACATGACTGAAACCTTTAAATACATCAAGGGGGTGAATGAGGTTCAGGAGGGCAGTATTTTCAACGGAAACCAAAATCAGGAACACAGGGACATGACCTTAAATTAACTGGAGGAAAGTTCAAAACTAATCTCAGAAAGTATTATTTTACTGAAAGAGTAGTTGATGCTTGGAATAAACTTCCAGCAGAGGTAATGAGCCAGGCAACAGTAAATAGCTTCAAACACGCTTGGGACAAGCATAGATCTATACTCAGATAAAAAAAAGTTAATAAAAAAACAGAACAATAAAAAAAACAAACAAAGAAAAACCCAAGCACCCCACTCCCCCCCCCAAAAAAACCAGGAAGACTTGATGGACCACTCTGTCTTTTTTCTGCCATCACTTTTATGTTACCGCTCTAATCACCTCTTCTTGAGAAATTATTTACGTAATTAATTTATTAGTGCTGTACTGCCGATTTCTACAAATTGATTCTATTCCCCATGTGACATCCGTTTAATCTGAAGCAGTGGAATCCCAAGGCAGGTGCTGGGGGTGCGCGCCGCACGGGGTGACACCGAACCCGCTCCACGAAAAGGTAAGTTGTAAAGCAAGCCGACGATCTCCGCAGGATGGATCAGATCTGCGGATTGGGGAGCATAATGGATCGGACTCCGATCCATTATGCTCAATCCGCAGATCCGAACTATCCTTCGGGGATCGTCGGCATGCAACCTATACAGGGTGACACCGAACCAGCTCCACGAGAAGGTAAGTTGTAAAGCAAGCCGACGATCCCCGAAGGATGGATCTGATATGCGGATTAGGGAGCATAAAGTATCGGAGTCCGATCCATTATGCTCAATCCACAGATCCGAACCATCCTGCGGGCATGCAAGCTATACGGGGTGACACCAAACCCACTCCACGAAAGGTAAGTTGTAAAGAAAGCCGACGATCCCCGCAGAATGGATCAGATCTGCGGATTGGGAAGCATAATAGATCGGAGTCTGATCCATTATACTCAATCCGCAGATCCGATCCATTCTGCGGGGATCGTCGGAGGGGGTGTAACCAAGTGTTATCGCACCGGGTGACACCAACCCTAGGGACGCCCCTGGTCCGAAGGCATTGCCGGCTGTATTTTGGGATACCTATCTAGCTACACCAGGTTCATAAAAAGTGGAAACAAAACAACCAGAAACATATTGGTTCTAATGGATTTTGTTCTATCATTTCCCTCTTTTTTTTTCTAATAAAGAAAATAAAAATATATGTATCCAAATCCCATAAAAGAAATGCCAATCCCACCTAAAAAAAACAAAAACAAAACAGCTTTAATAATTGATAACTATAAACTGCAGCAGAAAAGTGTCTGCCATGTGCTCTGGCACACTAGGGGTTAAGGGTTGTGGAAGGTCCTGGGAGTGAAGAGGTTAATAGAGCAGTGCAGTGTACTCACCAATGTAGACCCCAGCCACAAAGGTGGCCCCCAGCACAGCTATCCCAGCCACAGCTGCCTGTCGGGTGTCTGCAGACAGGACCATGATGGCAGAGCCAGGAGCAGGTACAAAGGACAGCTACAATCAATGAACATTGCACATCCTCTGCCTGCTCTGCATTGGCTACGCCTGTCACGTGACCCCCCAAGCAGGAAGTAGAGACTCAGGAAATTACAACTGTGTGCGGCTTCAAAACAATGATTAGTGTCATGCTGCCATCTGGCGGTGCATTTGAGGTAATACATCTTTGCCAGGCGATGGTAGGCTTGTACAGTGTAAGCTTGCTTTTTTTTTCAACCAATTCACAAAAAGAACATTGGGGAACTGGAGAAAGTACAGAGAAGGGCAACCAAACTGATAAGAAGCATGGAGGAGATCAGGAAAGAGGAACTGAATTTATTCTTTCTTGAGAAGAGGGGATTAAGGGAGGATATATCAACATGTATAAATACATCAGTGGTTCACCCTGAGGTCATCACAGAGGACAAGGGGGCACTCTTTACGTCTGGAGGAAAAGAAATTTAATCTCCAAACATGGAAAGGTTTCTTCACAGTGAGAGCTGTGAAAATGTGGAATAGACTCCCTCAAGAGTTGGTTCTGGCCAGCTCAGTGGATTGCTTTAAAAAAGTCCTGGATTCTTTCTTAGATACACAGAATATAACTGAATACTAACATTTATAGGTTAGGTTGATGCAGGGAATATCTGCATTGCCTCTCGTGGGATCAGGAAGGATTTTTTTTTTTCCCCACCAGGAGCAAATTGGATCATGCTTTGCTGGTTTTTTTGCCTTCCTCTGGATCAGCTGTAGGTATAGGATTATAACTTTTTTTTTTTTTTTATGGTTGAACTGGATGGACTTTTGTCTTTTTTCAGCCACACTAACTATGTAACCCTTTTGACTTGGAGGAACCTGGAAATGAATTGATATCCTTTCTTGGGTACTATACAATTTTATAATGCCACTGGAAAGGACATAAAGAAGGTCCAGAAAGATTGCATGTTTAAAGTGTATCTAAACCCAAAAATGTAAAATGCATTATATTGCAGATTAGCAGTTCTTACAGTCCATTCACATGGGGTACTTGGCTGCCTCTCACAGACAAAAAAAGATTTCCCAGCAACACTTACCAGCCAGCCTGCAAAACAAACAATTTAGTCCCGCCTAAAGGTTTGCGTTAAAAACAGAGGGTTTTGTTTGCACACATTTTCAAATACATGCGTAAGCCATAGACCCGCATCAAGGGTCCTCTGTACACTGTGGACCTAACTAAAATTTCCAAAGCCTCCATAGTAGGAGCACATATATCAATGGATAGGTTACAGGCAGGTGTGCCTAGAGAAGCCCATCCCTCCTTAAAAGTAACCTATCCATTTATAGGTCCTCAGTATACAGAGGACCCTTGACGCAGGACTGTGGCTTAAGCATGTATTTGCAAATGTGTGCGAACAAAACCCTCTGTTTTTAACGCAAACTGTTAGGGTCAAATTGATTGTTTTGCAGGCTGGCTGGTAAGTGTTGCTGGGAAATTCTTTGTTTATTCATGATGTGCATTGCCATGTGCACCTTACTGCTAAGGCTGGTTATATTATTATTATACAGTATTTATATAGCGCCAAAAAGTTTGCTCAGCGCTGTACAGAGTAGTGGGGGACAGTACATGAGACAATACAGTAACAAAACAGTATACGAGGTGTTCGAGGGCCCTGCTCTTTCGAGCTTACAATCTAGGAGGGAGGGGATAGTGGCACAGGAGGAAGTGGCTGTGGGGGATGGAGTGGTAGGAGGAGTGGATGAGAACGGCTGTTAGGTAAGGGTGGGGTAGGCTTCCCTGAAGAGATGGGTTTTCAGGGTGCGCCTGAAGGTGAGAAGGGTGGGTGACAGTCTGATGAATTGGGGTAGTGAGTTCCAGAGGATGGGGAAGTCCTTGAGAAGTCCTGCAGTCGGGCGTGGGAGGAGGAGACCAGGGAGCTAGAAAGTAGGAGGTCTTGTGAGGAGCGAAGATTGCGGGTTGGGTGGTATTTGGGTATCAGGTCGGTGAGGTAGTTCGGGGCAGTGTTATGAATGGCTTTGTACATCAGTGTTAGTAGTTTGAATTTAATGCGTTGGGCAATCAGAAGCCAGTGGAGGGAATGACAGAGGGGGGTGGCAGATGCGGAGCAGTTGGTAAGGTGGATGAGTCTGGCCGCCAAGTTCAGGATAGACTGAAGTGGGGATAGCCTGTGTTGGGATAGGCCGGTGAGGAGGGAGTTGCAGTAGTCGAGTCGTGAGATAATAAGGGAGTGAATGAGTTGTTTAGTAGTGTCTGGGGTTAGGAACGAGTGTATTTTGGAGATGTTGCAGAGGTGGAGCCTGCATGAGTTTGCCAGCGATTGGACATGGGGTTGGAAGGACAGGTTTGAGTCTAGAGTGACACCTAGGACTTTGGCTTGCGGGGTGGGACTGATGGTGGCATTGTTGGTCGTGATGGAGAGGGTGGGGGCGTGGGCTGGGGGGAAAATTAGGAGCTCGGTTTTGGAAAGGTTTAATTTGAGGAAGTGGAGCGACATCCAGTCTGAAATGTCGTTCAGTAGATGGGTGATACGGACGGAGACTGAGGGGGTGAGGTGAGGGGTGGAGAGGTAGATTTGTGTGTCATCGGCGTAAAGGTGATAGTTGAAGCTGTGGGAGTGTATCAATTTGCCGAGGGAGGAGGTGTAGATGGAGAAGAGAAGGGGCCCGAGGACAGAGCCTTGGGGAACCCCAACAGAGAGGGGGAGAGAGCGGGAGGTGGTAGCTTTATAGGTAACGCTGAAGGAGTGTTGAGATAGATAGGAGGAGAGCCAGGAGAGAGCGGACTCTTGATGCCAAGGGAGTGTAGTTTTGTTAAGGAGGAGGGGGTGGTCAACTGTGTCGAAGGCCGCGGAGAGGTCAAGGAGTAAGAGGACTGAGTAGTGGCCATTAGCTTTGGCGGTTAGCAGGTCATTAGTGATTTTGAGTAGGGCGGTTTCAGTGGAGTGTAGGGGACAGGCAGGTGTGTGGATCGAGGAGTTGTTCCCTCCTTAAAAGTAACCTATCCATTTATAGGTCCTCAGTATACAGAGGACCCTTGACGCAGGACTGTGACTTAAGCATGTATTTGCAAATGTGTGCGAACAAAACCCTCTGTTTTTTAACGCAAACTGTTAGGGTCAAATTGATTGTTTTGCAGGCTGGCTGGTAAGTGTTGCTGGGAAATTCTTTGTTTATTCATGATGTGCATTGCCATGTGCACCTTACTGCTAAGGCTGTTATAGCAGGATTATTATTATACAGTATTTATATAGCGCCAAAAAGTTTGCTCAGGCGCTGTACAGAGTAGTGGGGGACAGTACATGAGACAATACAGTAACAAAACAGTATACGAGGTGTTCGAGGGCCCTGCTCTTTCGAGCTTACAATCTAGGAGGGAGGGGATAGTGGCACAGGAGGAAGTGGCTGTGGGGGATGGAGTGGTAGGAGGAGTGGATGAGAACGGCTGTTAGGTAAGGGTGGGGTAGGCTTCCCTGAAGAGATGGGGTTTTCAGGATGCGCCTGAAGGTGAGAAGGGTGGGTGACAGTCTGATGAATTGGGGTAGTGAGTTCCAGAGGATGGGGAAGTCCTTGAGAAGTCCTGCAGTCGGAAGCCAGACTGTAGTGGATCGAGGAGGTTGTTGTCATTGAGGTGGGAGCTTAGGCGATTGTAGACTAAGCGCTCAAGGAGCTTAGATGTAAATGGCAGCAGGGAGATGGGTCTAAGGTTGCTCAGGTCGGAGGGGTCTAGGGAGGGTTTTTTGAGTATGGGGGTGATGTGCGCGTGCTTTAGGGGAGAGGGGAATGCGCCAGTGGAGAGGGAGAGATTGAAGATGTGGGTGAGGGAGCGTAGGATTGAGGAGGAGGGTGACCGGAGGAGTTTGTGTGGGGACAGGGTCAAGGGGGCAAGTGGTGAGGCGGGCTTCTGAGAAGACCTTAGTGACCTCTTCGGTGGTAGCAAAGCTGAAGGAGTGGAGTGTTGGGGAGGCTTTAGTGTGCGGGATGTTAGGTGTGGTGGGGGTCAGGGCGATTGCAAGGTCAGAGGAGGGGAGAGTTGCGGGGGTTATATTGGGAGGGAGGCTAGGTGGGGAGGTAGATTGAGCATTGGCGATGTCCCTACGGATTGCGTCGATCTTGTTTTGGAAGTAATTGGTAATCTCGTGGTGCTGGGTGGATATGGGGGGGGGGGGGGAGAGAGTAGAGAGTTTAAGGTAGAGAAGAGCTGGTGAGGATTGGAGGAGAGGGAGTTGATGAGGGTTACGAAGTAGGCTTGTTTGGTGGCATGGAGGGAGGAGGTGTAGGTGAGGAAGGCGGATTTGTAAAGGGTGTACGCTTGATTGGGACGTTTGCCATTTTTGTGTGCTTGGCTGCCTGTTTCATGAAGGTCTGTGTTTTCCTGACAATGGGACGCAGAAGTGTTGCATGCATTCCTCTGACAGCAGTCCATAGAGGTCTGTTGGGATATGCAGCTACTTGGACAGCACTGCTGTGTCCCCATATGCGAGTGTCGGCTTGCCACCTTATCCCTTTAAAACAGAACACATATGAATTACATCGGTTCTGAGGCTAACTTAAAGTGGAGCTCCACCCAAAAGGGCTTTAAGCCTTTGTCCCCACTACCCATTAAGGATTGGCACCTTTGGGGAGCGGGTACCCGAATTTGACAGGTACCTGAATTTCACAGGGTATCCCAGAAGCGGAAGTTGCCCTCCCTGTAGTCTTCTGGGACACGTGACAGGTCCCAGAAGACTACTGGGCCATTCACAAAGTGCAGCGCTTCTCCTGCATGCACAGTGGGAATCCCGCTGTGAAGCCGCAAGCTATCACAGCCGGGTGCCAACACTGAAGATGCTGGCACCAGGGAGAGAAGACAGCGGTGTAGTTAGCAGCTACAGTTTTAATCAACGTTTTCATGTGTAGGCACCCCAGCGCGTGCTTTTATGTTTGTGCGTGCGTACAAATGCAAGGGTGGGGGGGCCTTGAAAAATTTTTGGGAGGGTTATGTGCTTGGGTGTAACTTTTTTTTTTTT